CATAATTTCATCGTGACAAAATTCCTAGCTCTCTCAGTTCGTTTGACTCTCTGAACTGTAAGGTAAGAATCAACAGGGTTAACTATCAATTAGATCCAATTTTTGCAAATCTGCAAATTCACTACTACTAATCCAGACGTAAGTTGATCGTTCCTCGCGTTGTTTCATAATTCACGTTACGTACATATGTACAGGCGCAAACCTAACATCTCTGAAAAATGTAGGATGTTGGGGTATGTGTTTGATCGCGTTACCTTTGCGTGATTATTCCTCAAGTTCATTTTCGCGCTCTTATCTCACCCTTACCACGCCTCTCTCCAACCGATTTCTGGTTCAATATCCGTAAAACGAAAAATATAATATAAATGCGAAGTGCTGTTCAGATTAAGACAATTTGTCGACAAACTTTGCGTTGGCGCTTTGATAAGGAAGATAAGCACATAAAAGGGTATCGACCTATGTCTGCTATGAGCTTATCATAATTACTTTAAAACAAGTGACGCCATTTCGCCAACACGAAATAGAAATGTACTATTCTGAAAGTAAAGTATCCGTTTAATTTGTTTTTTATAATTCGAGAAAGTGTGTGTGTGTTTGTACGAACGAGTTATGTATACCGATAAAAGGAGCATGAAAAAATTTCAGTTATCCAACTGTTGAGAAGAATATACAGGGTGTTTCCTTTATCCTGAAAAGTTGGGCTATCTTGTCAGAAACTGAATCTATAAAAAAAATGTTTCGACAAAAGTTGTTTGGTACGAAGAGAAGCACCGTGTGGTGCAAATTATTTTTTTACAGGTCGAGTGGTGGTGGGAAATTTCAAAGTCAAGTACACTTTTTTAAATGGATACCATATATTTATTTTTTTTTTTTTTTTGTCATATCACGATAGCATTTGTTGAGACGAATTCATCGACCTGCCATATGACGTAATTTATTGTTGTAAAATTTTGTAAATACTTTTTAATTTCTGTGTTTTCTTTAATTGAGCATTAGTAAGTAGAAATAAACTTCGTTTATTTATGTCGGTAGCGTTAAAAGCGTAACGGGAGATAAGCTCGATCTTTATTTATAGCATGGCGTGCGGCCTAGCGACACCGGCTCATTTGACTACTTAGAAACATGAATTTATAACATTTTATAACAATAAATTACCTCATATGGCAGATCGTTGAATTCGTCTTAACAAATGTCAGCGCACTATGAAAAAAAAAAACATATGTTTCCATTTAAAAAAATCAACTTGACTTTGAAATTTCCCCCCACCACTCGACCTGCACACATGGTGTCCCCCTTCATACCAAACAACTTTTGCCGAAACATTTTTTTTATTGGTCCAGTCCCTTGCGAGATATTCCAAATCTTCAGGATAAAGGAAACACCCTGCATACACGTATGTATATCTTCGATATTAATTACGAAGTACGTATATTGCAATATGACCTTTCTTATTCATTACTACAATTCGTTTCCGTCGATTAATATACAACAATGTTTATATAGTTTGTCTTAAAATTTGTTAAACAGCTAGGATATCCTTAGCAAAACCTGCACACTGAAATATCCTCTTTCTTTTTAATGATACTGGGAAATGTTTAATACATAATCTGAATGGTTTCAAAGGAGGACCACGATGTGAGAAAGAATTTTATTCCATGGTCATTCGTTTCGTGTTCTTCAAAGTCGCTAGTATTTTTTGGAGAAAAGTGTATACCTTGTAGCGGGTGTTAACATGCATCGAAGCGTGTATGAGTTACGACTTTGAGGTGACCTTGAACACCAAAAAGGTGATCAAATTCCAAGACAATGTTAAGATGGTATATGAACTTATTGTTTATGTTAATAAATGCTCAATGTAATCCAACGGCGGTGATACACTGTCTGAAACAAGTAATCATGGATTGTGATGCTTCTTCAATCCATTTCTGGAGTAATAACACAAGTTCTAATTATTTTATTCATCGTGTCTTCTAAAGTGCTAGGTTGCCGATAGATGCTGAATGTATTGAGTTATGTTTATCAACGTACTGTAGACATGTACAGCCTTGGTCAAAACTACTAGGCACCCCATGAAATATGAATTATTTACAAATATTTTTGTATTAGGAGGAAATCAAACTATACGAGGCGAAGAATCGGGAGATGTTTTTCCAAACATCTCCGAGTTTCTTCGTCCTCGAGGACAAGAGTATTGCCTCGGCAATGTAGGCCCGCGTCTCCACTTCCTGGGACTTTCCCAGGGAAAAGGGGCTACTTAACCTTTTAGGTACGGCGCGCTCATCCGCAAGTGGGTACCCCTGGGACGGCGCGCCTGGCCGCGGATGGCACAGAAACCGTTCATGACGATTCTCTGGATACCATATATTTAAACGACAGCTTCGATATTGCCAGGAAATGTGGTTTAGGCGAAACAAATGCGAAATGAAGCAAAAAACGTATAATACCGTCGAAAATCATGATATCCACGAAAGTCACTATAGTGCCGTACCGTCCAAATTGGTGCTATCGACGAAAGCCACTATAGTGGCGTTCCGTAAAAATAGAGGGTCTTGGCGGAACGCCACTATAGTGGCGTACCGTTCCAATTGATGCCATCCGCGGAAGCCACTATAGTGGCGTTACCGTATCTAAAAGGTTAAGGGAGCCCCGAAAAAGGCACGAGGCCTTTGGTCGTAGACTTCCTTTCTACGCGCATCGTATCGCCTTACATCTAAAATTAGTTTAAGTATTATTGGTTGAATGAGTATATTTTTGTTACCCACTTTGCGAAGTCACTTCCAAATGACAATCACTGCAATTTCTGTCTGACTTTCGCCCCGTTTTTTAAAAAGAAGAATTAACTTGCGCTGATGGTCACTCACAGTTCACTCCTTTTTGGCATATTTCAAGGAAAACTTTCAAAATATGAACAGCAAAACTAAGGACAAGCTGACATGTGTTAGCAACGAGTACTAATAGCAGATTGCGAATTTTAAGAAGAAACATAAAATGTACTTATTGTTAGACTATGGGTCATTCAATTGTTTTATGGCCCACTATGAACCTTGTCAACTGTTTTAAAATTGTTTTGAACTAACAGATAAAGCATGATGAGCAATAGGAAGGTTTCAAAGAAATAATTTTCGCAGTAAGTTATAATAATAAAGGTGCTTAATACTTTTGCTTAAGACTGTACAAGATGTGTTCTTTAGCTGATTGCAAAGAGAATAGGGTGTCGTATTAATGTATCAGTAAGTGTTTCACGATAAATTATTGCTCAAAGTAAGAAGAAAATTAAAATGATTTTTATTCGTGGTAAAGCTAGGCAGTGCTTTAGAGAAGCTGTACAGTTCTCTTGCTTTGAATAATAATTCATTACAAGGTTCAAAATTGCGGTTCAAATTCAGTACATTTTTATTTAAGAAAAAGGAAACGGATATATTTCACAACAGTAATAAAATAAAATGACAGTTTAATTTAAATATTATATTTAATGAATTAGAAAAAATAAATCAACCCTCTGCATTTCTGTTATTAAATATAATAATTGCTTAATACTTAAGTGTCTAATATTTAAATAATGATTGTACATATTTATTTGATGAAAAAATCGCCTTCGTTATTTAAAATTTCTTCATAAAACTAACCACATTAATAGCGTACTTTAGAATTAATATGTCTTTGAAAGTATCCAACCCTAATTGACTTTTTCCATTGTCCAAATTTTACTTATTATTGAATACATGAAAGATATTCAGTTACTTTAATTATATATTTTTTTTAACATTCAATGTTAGTTTTTTTAAAATCAGTACAACATTCGGTGCGAAATTTAAATCAGTAGGTACAGAGCCTTTAAAATCAGTACGTCCGATCACTTAAACTATAGCAGATTTAAATGGTTTCGATTTCATTTTTTTTGAATATTTCGTGGACAGTCAAAGTTAAGTACTCCAGAATTGGTTGCTGTATTACGAATGGATGATCTTGGAGTATATTGATTAATATTCGATTTAATTTTCGTTTGAATCAATTAGGATAGCGTTTACGCTATATAATATAACACGTTACATAGCAAAGCTGTAAAACTTGTTAGGAAAAGAGAAATGTTGTACAGTCAAACCCTCTTATAACACGGTACAACTTCGATAAGACAGTTTCGATTTAACACGGTGCAAAAATTGCGACCGTCCTCCTTTAACACGATATTCATTTAAATCGTTTCCATATAGCACGGTTTCATAAACTTGTTCAACTCTCGCGAATGTTTCAAGCATACATTCTTATACTGTTTCATTTAAAAAAATATCCGACTCTCGCCAGTTCTCGAGCACACGCACTCCGAGAACACAGTTTCGATATACATATAGCACGAAACGCATTGCCCTAATTTCTATTAATTTATAGTTTCGCTTAACACGTCTTCGATACAACACGGAACAAATTAGCCGTTTTAATAAGAGGGTTGACTATATAATATTATGTTGAATAACATTTTTTGTATTATATAGCAAGTTACATGTTATCCATCAAATGTCGGTAAAGGTCAAAGAAAGTTATAAAACATTGTTGCATGACATATTGCCAATTGATCCGAATCAGTGCGATGCGATTATAAAACATTTGCCATCTACCGTTTGATGCCGTTATTAATAATGAGATGTTAAATGTTGTACAAACTTGTTACAGACTTGTTACTACAATATCAAAACATATAGTCTCGTAAAAAGAAGAACAATTTGTTTTATAACACTGTTTTGTTATATAGTGTAGATGCAGCTTTAGGATAGCGTTCATGAAATTTGTTACAAACTTCACGATACGAAATAGTACGAACTCCACTCTCTCTCTTTAGTACTAAAAGACATCGTATAAAAAGTATTCCACACCTTTTTCAATTATTATATTTTTTTTTATTGATCCCAAAAAAAAAAAACTGCACATAGAGACTTATACGGTTTTACGTTCACTTTTGCATATTATCGGTTTACTATTTCTCAGATTATTGTATTCGAACTGTCACACTGGTTTTATGTATTTCCTTCAGTCACTTCTGAGATCAACTTGTTAGAAATACATTTTCAGAATATAATGATACTATATAATATTTAATATCTAGTTAAAGATGAAATAAGTAATGCATGTAACCTATGATTTAATACATTTTCTAATAAATTTGAAAAACTTGTACAACATATTATTTGGTTGTGCATTTCATGTATAATTGTTATGCAAGATATTCAAAAGTTATGCATAATATCTATTAAATTGTATGGGCAGTATATATAATAAAAAATACGTATAATGTACCCAAATGTTTTTTGGTACTTCAGCAATCTCTGAAACTTAGATTTTCTATAATTTAACTATAACCATAACTATAACAAAGATTAGCGGTATGTTTAAGGTACGTTTAAAATAAAATGCAAGGTACCCTTCGATCCATCTAATTTGGAGATTTTATATCAAATAAAATTGCACGTTTTCTTACATTTTCCACTCTTCTGTTCTACTCTTCCATTTTCATGCTCACGTAACATTGAAATTATGGAACAACGTGAAACGTGAAATTATAATTTGTTTCCAACAGATTTAAAAGAATGGAAATACGTTGGCTTGGCACTTTTCGAATGTCACGTGAAATTACGTAATAGTAAATGATTTCACGTGACGTGATGGTAATGTATTTCCACCTTTAATTACTAATTTCAGCGGTTCGAAATAGTATTCCAGAATGTACAGCTATTAATCTTCGTTTTTGCATCAAACCTAACCTAACGCACTTTTAAGAAAAATATTATTCAAATAATATACACAATACACAAAATGATAAAATATACATATTTTTTAAACATTTTAACAAAGAAAAAACGTTACTTTCAAGATTTGAAAAATATGCAATTAACTATTTTAACTCCCTTACAGAATTGATTTTACAAATGGCGCGCGCAAATGTAAACAGATGCTACTCCGATCTGCCCCGTTTCGAATCGGTTGCTAGGATTTCCAGCTTTCCTATTGTAGAAAATAGTATACATATTGCTGGTAACGTGTACGATAGAATAAAGGTGAGCATTGACTACATAAAGTGTGTTAAAAATCTGACAGTTCCGTGAATCTCGCCACTTTCTCTTATGTTTCACTCGTTAGTTTCACTAGCTGTGAAAGTAATAATAAGGTAAAAGCTTTAATTAGAAACTACATGTTTGTACGTTACTTCTAATAAACAGCGTGGTCAAATTAGTACTCGTAAGTAAAATGTAAAAGTGTATGTGATAAAAAAAGAAATGAAAATATTGTTGCAATTACTTACAATAGTTACATTTATTTGGAACGAATGTTTCAATATGCTTCTTCCATTGCAAACTTCAAGCAAGTGATAAAAGTAAACACACAATATACACGAATCAACACATATTTAAATAAATTTTTGACAAGGTTGTGTAAAGACCACCACAGATGAATTCTACTTACAAGTGTTACATACACAGTCCACTGTTAGAGAGTTAAACATTAGTGGAACTTTAACATCATTTTTTAAGAGAACGGTTGAGTTACGACCCATGGTTTGTGTGACACTTTTTATCCTCGCAACGAGTAGAATACGATACAAGCAAAAAAATGTTTACCTTGAAAGTCAAGATCAAGGACAATTTTGCACGTATTTTTTTTTACAAATGTTCACCGATCCAAGAGTGTAGTATCCCGCTGTGATGGTCTTTATACAACCTTTTTTTACACCCTGTACATGATACATTCATTCCATGTAATGCAAATAATGCATTTTAACATCCACATTATTTTAATATACATAAACATATAAAAATACTTTTAAAAGTAATATCGTATCAAATCCTATTGCTGCTTATTGAAATAATTGATATAACTATTTCACAAGAGTTATTTCAGTTGTTTGCAGTTATTAGTCTCAATCGAAACTAACTCTAATACTGTCGAAACAAATCTTCAAAATATTAGTTTAATTCCACAGATTTATTTCTAGCCACTATTATTTTCAATTAATTTTCATTTCATTCAATAACTGTTAGATTTCTACTAATTTATTTCTATTAAAATAAAATGTGAAACATAAAGTAAATATAATACTTTTAATTTCAGCGGTCGAATTTGTTAATAAGTTGGAGTTTATGCACTGCCGAACAATCATTTGCTATTGCAACAGCGTCAGCTATACCTGCGATTTATGCGTTAAATGGACCTATTATGACGATCGATCAATTGCTCTGTAAAGGTATTGATATTGTAGAAGAAAGAGTACCAGCTGTGCACCTCCCCCCACATCTGGTAAGTTTACACATATGAATCCACATATAAATTACTTATTATTTAATACTTTCCTGAAACATGATAGATTTATTTTTTATTTTGATAAGGTGTACTGCAATGCACGAGAATACGTGAGTAACAAAATTGTAATGCCGGTCCTGATGCGTGCCGGAAGTGTGAAACAGATAGGAAACCATGCTGCGAATGCTGCGGTAGACAGATTAGATGGCGCTCTAACTGTTGCGGATCAATATGTTGATCATTACTTGCCTGCCGATCCTGCCGATAAAATGATAGATGGTAGATTAACATTATGATCGTGACGAAAAAATTACAAAATAAAAAGGGAGAAGTTATTTGCAGTTATCACATATAGTATACAGTGTCATGTTATATTATTAGTGCAATAATACTAAAGTCTTTATTATTTAAAATAAGAAACTTCACAATTTATCAATGACACTATATTCTAATTAACTACGTATTTTACCTAAAACCGTTCTATATATAAAGTTTGAAATATTTCTATTTTAAAAAGTAGATTAGACAATACTGCATTCCTTAAATAAATTATCAGTAAAATCCTTTGATGCAAATATCATGGGGTAACAAGAATTTGTTACTGATAAGAGCTGTTTTTCAGAGGTTACTCCTGCCGAATCTGTAAGCAAAACGACACGAACTATCAAACATGGCGCCAGACTATCTAGAAAACTACAAAAACGATTAACGCGTCGCACATTAGCAGAAGCTCGAGCCCTTAGAGAACAAGGAACAGAATGTATTCATGTACTCTTGTATGTTGTAGAATTGGTAAGTAGAATTTCCTTCAGCTAATATAAAATAATTAAACTCAAGATAAAATAAATAAAAGCTAAAAGGGAAATAGACCAGGAATGCTTAAAATTATACCAATTATTAATTTAGTGATTATTAACAAAAGGCATTATTTAAATTTAATAACGATACTAAACATTTAATTGATCATTTTCTAACAATTTATTATCTTTATTTTAATAAAATCTAATATTCTAATATTTTGCCCAAACTGATGAAGTTTATGTATGTAGCTAGCAACGGATCCAAAAGCAGCTTACCAAAAGGCAAAAGAGCTATGGGCAACATTAAGTTTACCCGAACCAGAAAATCAAGCTCGACCAGCTTCTCTAGAACAATTGTTTGTTCTCTTAACACGTGAATGTGCACGCCGTATTGTTCACCTAGTGAATGGCACAGCAGAATTAGCAACAAAAGCACCTCGCAATCTTGGCAAAGTTCTTGTTAAAGTTTCACATCAATTGCTTACAGTTGCAGATGCTACGTTAAAAGTAAATATAATAAACTTGACTCTCTTCATCAATGTTCACCAACAAGATTATTTCATTCAATTATTTCCATTTTGTTTTTTCTATTTTACTTTTTAGATGCTGCCAATTATTGGTAAGACAGATGCAGCGAAAGAACAAATTTCAGTGATACGTTCAACAATACACAGGCTTAATTTGTCTACAAATCATCTGTTGGTATGTAATAACTAACTTTACATTATCTTCAAGCTTATGCTGTTATAATTTAATAAATGCAATGAAAAGAAGCAAAAGTACTATATACGTTGCAGTTAAAGAATATATGTTGCAGTTAAAGAAAATTATTTTAATAATATCATAAATTATAAGATTGGTTAATAGGGGAAGGATGTAACAAGAATATATAATGTTATTTTGCATTTAAAGATTGAATCTTACATCTCCTGTA